GTGATGCCGTGGCGCGGGCGGGGGCGCGGGCGCGGGCGGGGGCGCGGACGGCGCGGGCGAGCTCCTGCGGCGCCACGGCATCACGCTGCTGCCGGCCGACCCGGGCGGCACCGTGCTGTCCGCGCTGCAGGGCGGCCGCACCGTCGTGCTCTCCGGTGCGCTCACTACTGCACTGCATGCACTACCACTAGTACTGGCTCCTACTGCTAGGCGCGGCTCCTACTACTAGGCGCGGCTCCTACTACTAGGCGCGGCTCCTACTACTAGGCGCGGCTCCTACTACTAGGCGCGGCTCCTACTACTAGGCGCGGCGTCACGCGTGAGGTTGCACCTTACACTGCTTGTTCTACTAGTACATCCTCTTGACTCGCCCGCTTATGTTCGCAGACGCTGGCAAATTGATGTTAAAGGAGAGCAGCGAGAGTCCGTCGCCAGCCTCCAACAAGGCGGGCACGGCGTCGAGCCAACCAAAAGGCGTGGTACTAACGGCCACGCCAGTTAAATCGCCCCCGAAACCTGGTGTGAAGATATTCACTCTGAACAACAAACTCCTCGCGGTGCCCAAGGACAACAAGATACCCGTGAAAAAGATTATTAACCCGCAAGACATGCAGGTTATTTATATTTATATATAAAACTAGCTTTTAACCGCGGTTTCGCTCGCGTCACAAAAGAATAAAAAGTAGCCTATGTGACATATAACAATACACACAGCGCCATCTATTCCAATACTTTAGTTTCCCTCCCTTCCCTTAAATAAAATGTGATATTAACTAAAAAGTACCCTATTATATAATCCGGACTTTTAACTTTATATCTGTAAAAATTCAAAGCAATCGGTTTAGTAGTTACGGCGTGAAAGCGGAACAAACAAACAAACAAACTCACTTTCCGATGACGATGATTCCTTCCGATAATATTAGTAAGGATGATGATGATGTTGGAAATTATACACAGTAGAATTGTAGGCCTACGGTCCTACCCTTCACTCACTACTACTTTTGAGGTTCAAAGTTTCATTAAAAATACCTACTACGTTATTTTCGAGGGTATTTCTTTAATTCACTCCTTACCTAAATATATTCGTTTAACAGAGTCAGTATTAAATGCAGATTTATTAAAAGTACCAAAATGACTGGTGTATATAAACAGCATTTTGGTAGTTTTGCCTAGAAAGTTACACACTGCCGCACGCTTCGCTTAGGAAACCACGGGGGAAAGCTAATAAGAGATATTTTGTAATTTTTAGGTGAAATTCGTTCAATTGCCTCCAGACGCCAAGTTAGTGTCTCCTTCGAAAATAGTACCAATGAAGGCAAAAAGCAGGATGGCAGTGCGCCAGGGCGTGACGTCACCGAGCGCGCGCCCCGCCGTCAAGATCATCATGAACAAGTCCAACTTCCACAGACTACTCGCCACCGCCGGAGCCACGCAGGTACATATATATATACACCTCTACTCTAAGTACCACTATGTAGGTACTAGTCCAACTTCCACAGACTACTCGCCACCGCCGGAGCCACGCAGGTACATATATATATACACCTCTACTCTAAGTACCACTATGTAGGTACTAGTCCAACTTCCACAGACTACTGGCCACCGCCGGAGCCACGCAGGTACATATATATATACACCTCTACTCTAAGTACCACTATGTAGGTACTAGTCCAACTTCCACAGACTACTGGCCACCGCCGGAGCCACGCAGGTACATATATATATACACCTCTACTCTAAGTACCACTATGTAGGTACTAGTCCAACTTCCACAGACTACTCGCCACCGCCGGAGCCACGCAGGTACATATATATATACACCTCTACTCTAAGTACCACTATGTAGGTACTAGTCCAACTTCCACAGACTACTCGCCACCGCCGGAGCCACGCAGGTACATATATATATACACCTCTACTCTAAGTACCACTATGTAGGTACTAGTCCAACTTCCACAGACTACTCGCCACCGCCGGAGCCACGCAGGTACATATATATATACACCTCTACTCTAAGTACCACTATGTAGGTACTAGTCCAACTTCCACAGACTACTCGCCACCGCCGGAGCCACGCAGGTACATATATATATACACCTCTACTCTAAGTACCACTATGTAGGTACTAGTCCAACTTCCACAGACTACTCGCCACCGCCGGAGCCACGCAGGTACATATATATATATATATATATGTATATATGTACATATTTACAAGGTGTCGTTTTAAAACCGTGACATCGTCTAGGAGGTAACTCAGCTATTGATTCTGAGTCACAACTAATTATCTATAAGATTCAAATGACCATTTTCAACAACATCTGGCCTGGGTAACGCACACGATTTTAAGAATCACGTTTTATAAAATTCTTTGCTAAACTGCGTTTAATAAAAATTGGCTTCAACCCCATGATTTTTTTAAATCGATTTATTATATACTAGCTTTTACACGCTAAAGGATCAAAAGTAGCCAATGTGACTATCCATCCCTTCAACTACCTTCAGTTAAAAATCACGTTAATGAGCACCTTCGTTTTGCCGTTTAAGAGAGGCAAACAAATAGCTTTCCGCTCGCGTGCAATTCGGTCATTTCGCTTTTTAGATTTTTCCGTGAGACTGAGAACTTGTGCCGCGGTAAAGCCTTGCATTTCCAGGACTCAAACTTCCTTCATACCAAATTTCTTCAAAATCCGTTCAGCCGTTTAGGCGTGAAAGAACAACAGACACTTAGGAGTATCCTTACTAATATTAGTGAACCGAACAGTGTTCTGAAAACCACGTCAAAATCGGTTCAGCTAATTGCGTCCAACGCCAACCATACATAAGGTCCTTTGTTTGAAGTCGGTTACAAATACGTATCATTCACACAGTAGGTACTGTACTCGGCGCATTACAACATGGATTCTCCGGTAGCTTTACTCCATTAACTATTGTGGCTCGAGATGTGCAATTTTTCGTGTTTATCCATTTGATTATTTCTCCAAAAAAAATACTATTTCTAGTTGATGCAATTTACAGACAATGCTTTTTTAAATTGCTAACAAAAGGTAAACCTAAACTAAAAGGAAACTAAAATGTAGTATACTATCATACTACTACTATATACCTAGGTACTACTGATTGTTAAACGAAAAACTGTAATATTTTGTTTTATCAAAAGTTGGTAAGTACCTATACCTACATACTCATTTTGTTCTATTTACTTGGGTACTTCCTACAGTTTTCTATTAATTTGTACGGGATTGCAAAGAGTATAATAAGTATTTTTTTAAGGGGCGAAAATCGTCGAATTACTGCTCCCGCCTGGGTGAGGCGGGAGGGACTGTCAGACTCTTACTGACTACCCCGGTTACCTTGTTACCCCGGTAACCCGTTAGGTTCCCTACGACAATTTAATATAAGTATAGGGGCGAGATTGTGTATTGTCATGTCACTTTTTTTGCGGCATACAGCATAGCTTATTTCTAAACAATACTGGAAAAATACTAAAATTAAGTGAGTCACAAAATCAATTAATTAAAGTGTGATATTTTTTAATATTTTATTGTATTGAACAGTCGAAATAATTTATTTTTACCGACTTCAAAAAAAGGAGGAGGTACTATGTTTGGCTAATTGTTTTTTTTTTTGTTCTTCGCTCAGTACTCCGCCATTTGTGAACCGATTTCCAAAATTCTTGTTTTGTTTGAAAGGGTATACTCCCGAGATGGTCCCATTTCCATGAGATCAGGATCTCATGATGGAATCCTAGGGAAACCGAGGGGAACTTTCGAAAATTCTATGGGCGAGTTATACGTCTATTATGTTTTTCAAATAGGATTTTTAAACACTACAATTTGATAAGGGTCTGGAGTCGACCTGATGATGAAGCCGACAGACAGTCGAGAGAACTCCTCAACGGTATACAGTAACTACCTTGTGTTTGGGATTGATTAATTTGTATTGATGCGAACTTTCCACCTATGTAGATTATAAGTAACAAAACGGGTATATGTAGCTTTACACTAAAAATTTAAAATAATAAAATAAAAACTGCGTTTAAAAAACCGACTTAATAAAACCAAAAAACTAATAACAAACAAAAAGTCAAAACTAAAAAGCAAAAAATAACTATTATTAGTACTGATAGGTTACCCACCCACTGATAGGTTAGACGTCGGTGCCATAAGCTCATATCATAATGATATAACTTAATGTCTACAATAATAGTTATTTTTTGCTTTTTAGTTTTGACTTTTTGTTTGTTATTAGTTTTTGGTTTTTTCGGTCGGTTTTTTAAACGCAGTTTTTATTTTTGATTAAGGCAAGTACCCAATTCTTGGGAATTTTTTCCCTCATTCTGGGAAAGGCATGTTTTTGAAGGCAATAGAAGAAGGACATTATAAAGGTAAATCTGGCATCAAACTCGTGGAATCACCTTTTTAAGTTGATTAAAAAGCGATTTTACAAAATTGTAGGTGTCGACAAATGCGGCGGCAGTCGTGGATAGCGAATTAGCAGAAGGCGAAGAAGAAATAGCGCTCACAGAGGACGCGGCGCCCCCCGACACTAGCGACGCGGACAGTCCCGCCGCACTGCGCGCGCAGCTAGCGGCCGCCACGCGGGCGCTCGCCGCCGCCAGGCGAGATCTACGCCTCGCCCGCGCCCGCCTGGCGCACTACGAGCGCCTGCACGACCTCTAGTGCCTGCCGCCGCCCGCGCCCGCCTGGCGCACTACGAGCGCCTGCACGACCTCTAGTGCCTGCCGCCGCCCGCGCCCGCCTGGCGCACTACGAGCGCCTGCACGACCTCTAGTGCCTGCCGCCGCCCGCGCCCGCCTGGCGCACTACGAGCGCCTGCACGACCTCTAGTGCCTGCCGCCGCCCGCGCCCGCCTGGCGCACTACGAGCGCCTGCACGACCTCTAGTGCCTGCCGCCGCCCGCGCCCGCCTGGCGCACTACGAGCGCCTGCACGACCTCTAGTGCCTGCCGCCGCCCGCGCCCGCCTGGCGCACTACGAGCGCCTGCACGACCTCTAGTGCCTGCCGCCGCCCGCGCCCGCCTGGCGCACTATGTTTACCTCGACGTCACCCACTTTTTGAAAGTTCTCCGTTCAATGTGGGACATTAAGTATATAAAATGTACTTGGTTTTTTTATTTTTAATGGTGTACGCTAAAGGAAACTGGCGGGTTTGTAAGGAGTAATCGGCATGTAACTACACAAATGCTTTAACGTCTTGTTACAGTTTATTCATTAAAATAATCAATCCCAAAAAACGTTTGCGGTCTTTTCCAGTAACTTGAAGTAATTTAACATTTTTGACACAGAAATGAAGTTATACTTTGTTTTTAACCGATTTCAAAATTAAACTTACTAAGTACTTATCTCGGATCGGCTGTCATAAATCCAGGATAAAAGTTTTAATTATCAAAGATTTGTTTTATAAAATATATGTATTGTATGTGTTTGTCTGAAACGATTTTTATGCGGTTTTCAGAAAAGTGTTTGTTACACGGACGAGGAGGTTTTAATTTATTAATTAATCGACTTCAGAAACATATTTTTTTCTATTTGAAGTCGATTAAAAATGAGCTCCTTATTTTGATTTGTATGTATGTATGGTTGTTTGAGCGCGATTATCTCGCAATTGGCTGAACTAATTTTACCATTGTATACCTCACAGATTTGTAGTCTAATGATTCTCAGATTTATATAAATACTGGAAAACAGGACTGGAATAATAACAACCATGAATTGAATGAACAGCACCTACCTCACACTCATTGACAATGTCGATGAAATTATAATTATGATGCAACACTGTTGCAATGTATAAGTAATAGTAATAGATTGTTCTACTACGTATGTTATGAACTGTATTAACCCGTCGTGTGTCTAGACGTGGATCCATGCGAGACATAATGTATCTTCTATTGTGGCTCATATACAGGAATTTAAGCAGTTAATCAATAGTTAGGTAATAATAAAATGTAAACCAATGTGGCAGTACCTACCTAATTAATTATCTACAGGTAACATTTTAGGTAATTCGTATTTACCTACCTAAATCAATTCCTAGGATGTATCGATTCAATATATTGTTTGTTTAAGATATTACTGTCATTAATGGAACCTGAGACAGATAGACTTGTTTGATGTAAATATCTGAATGCTGTACTTTAGGCCGAAGTCCGCCTGTCTTCTTTCAGTTCTGCTAGGATGTTCTGTAAGATGTCAATTCGAACTCTGGAAGTACGCGCGATCGCGGCCCGCTATATCATTCGTTGTGAGAATAATCTCGACCAACGGGTTGACGGGTGAGAATCAGGGCCTAAATAGGTAACCGGAAAATTAAGGTACCGTTATACCGATAAATATAGGATACCGCTTTATTTCGGTACCGGTACTTTAACTCGTCGAGTACCGGTTTTGTAGACACAATTATAGAACAATAGGTTGCGGTCACCGGTGACCGCTTGGTGTTTGACAGTTTAATATGTATACTTTAAAATGTATACAAGAGATATTGACCACGTTACTTCATCTATCCTATTTCTCTCTCCTTACAGGCTCACAGGCGCGTGCTTACCGGATGCCGCCATTTCCCACCCACAGAAACATTATATCAAATTAAAAACGGCTTGTTATATTTATATTTGCACCACACTCCTCGCACCGGTCCGACCGAACGGTGAAATCTGTTTTTCGGTACCGATATCGCATAAAGGTTAAATAACGGTATAGCCTTAATTTTGATACACTCGTTTTATACCGGTACCGTAATGAAAAACCTCAACCTCTTTCAGTCCTTGGTGAAAAGGCGTCGAGCATGCGAGAGAGTTCGAATTGACTTCTTGCAGTATAGCCTAGCTGCACAAAATTTAGTAATTCAACTACTATTATTTTTGTAACTAAACCAGACCTTATGTATGCCGTGATAGTATGTTATATTAACATATACTTGTACACAAATGTTGTATATATTAGTAGTAAAATGACAGGAACTACAATGTCATTTTTAGTCTAAACTCTTAGTTAGTTGAAAATTCCTGTTTATTTGATTCGATGGAAAGTTTTAGTGTGAATATTGTAAATTATACCAAATAAAAGGTGCATAAAAAAGATTTTGTGATAAATAAATACGATTAAGGAAATTAAAGCTCTAGTATTGAAAACGTGTTTATTAATGATCGACGCGGCGCTAGACGTCGCGGCGGCCGCGCGCCTGCAGGACGTCCCGGAACTGCGCCAGGATGGCGTTCTCCCGCTTGGCTCGCTCCTCCTTGCTGAAGGCGGCGAGAGCTCGCTTCTCGTCGGCGGAGTAGATCTGGTTCTCCTTGCGGATGCGCACTGCTTCCATGCGCCGGTGTCTGCAGATATCGTTGACAGGTTATAAAATGCGTGTAATAGAGTTGTGAATATGAAGCTTAATTGACGTCAGCTATGGTGCATATACAGTACTCTGAAGTATTTTACAAAATATAGACTGAGAAGAGATTGGTCGCGAAAATCTGTTGCTGGCCTACTAGTTAATAGAAGTAATAATAATTCTGCCTGAATATTTGATGGACCAGATGATTTATATTATGAAGAAAGTATATTAACTAAACATAACGTAATAATAACTATAAAATGAAAGTTGTACCTGCTGCCACTCATAACATATCCAACAGACTCGTATGACGCAATTTCATCTGAAGTAAGTCCAATTTCTCCTCTGCGTGGTATTCTCTTGCCTTCCGCGACGTAAGCAGCCATGGCCGCCCCCTCGCCAGGTAGTAATGCTCGTCCAAAGTCTTTGTGACCTAAGGCAGGTCCTACACGAGGAGTGGGACCAAAAGCCTCAGTTGCCAGCTCTTCATCACACTTTTTATATGATTTAGATTCAGATTGTATTTCATGTTCCTCTGTAAATAAAACTAGCCATTACAATACTACATAAAGCTTCTGAGAAGCAGTTATCCTTTACACTACTTAATCAGTATTCGGTCACTATTGTGTATGTAATGATAAATGATGGTTTTATCATTTGAATAGTCACTGACTGACTGACTGACAGACTATTGTTTAGTATTTGTTGACTTTCCAAAAGTACCTAGTAGTTAATTGAAATAAACCAGGTCTGTTTACCGCCAGTGATACAACATAACTGGTACAACCTGCAACATTTTCTAGTACCCCTCGGCTTACTAATGGGGTTACTAGGCAAGTAATGGATCTTAGACCAGTAATTTTTGTTGATTTCATTTGTTTAGATGAAACATCTGCTCGTTTGGCAGCCTAGAAAATAAAAAAAAACTATTAAACTTACTTCCTTTTTCAACCCACACTTCCTCTTCACTACTAGAACTTGAGTCACTGCTACTACTTTCAACTTTCTTTTTCTTAGCTTTTTTCCTTGCTTTCTTTACTTTTTTTAGCTTCTTTTTCAATTTTTTAAGTTTCTCTTTAGTGTCTTTGTTCTTAGATTTTTTATTCTTTTTCTTTGCTTTACTGCCCCCTGAGAATTCGGGTTGTGTCTGCTCTTCTTCTGATCTGTTTTTAAACCAAACATAACTTCATTACTAAACTCTATATTGGATACTGATGCTTATCATTACTATTCACATAAAGCCTGGTTTCAATTCGATAATTATTTTTGTTGGATAGTTTGTTTCATGTAGCTCGGAATTAAGAAATGGGTGAAACTGTGTGAGACAGCTAGTTACATAACATTGTGCACATGCAAAACTTATCAAGCAACAGTACAACAGTGCGCAATATACTCAGACCCTACTACTTGGACTCATAACTAGCAGAAAGAAGATAAGTGAAACATTTAATGGGTCTCCCATCCCCCGGATCAACTACTCCTTTTTGTCACCACAAGGAAAAAAAAGCATTATGAAAACTTGTAAGTGTTCAAAGACAAATGCATTTATTCGATAATCCATAACATAAAATATTTTTTTTAAACCGAGCCAGTACTTCCAGATATAAGTGCATTCAAACAAACTCTCCAGCTTTATACAATAGTTTTACTTTATTAATATCTTGGAGCAGTCAATGTGTTAGAAGTAGAGGATTCGATCCCGGGATCCCGAAGCCCGGGATCCCGGGTTCCTGATCAAATTTCGGTCCCGTAATTTTCGGGATTATTTTTTAAGTATCCCGGGATTTTCGGGATTAGAATTTATGCTCTTACCAATGCATTTAGAGATTCATTTTTGTGATGTAGAATAAAAATATGCATGAAACGAAGCGAAACGCACGTTAGAAGTTTTAACGGCCATCTTGTTTACACATCTGATTTCATTTGTAATTGCTAATGGATCTTTTTGAGATCATTAAACAAGAAATGAATCTTTATGAAGCTAGTTCCACACAAGGTTATAATTTGGAGAAGACTTATAAAAAATTATTGACGATTCCTCCAACTTCCATTGAGCCTGAGCGCGCTTTTTCTGCCTCTTCATATTTGTGCAACAAATTAAGAAGCAAGCTTTCTGATGAGTCGTTGGATGCTTTACTATTTCTTCGATATTATTTTCGAAGTTGAAAGAAATAATTTATAAATTACCTTGTATTACTGATCTCTTTAGAATTAAGTCATTTTTAATTTTTATCTAAACAAGTGTTTAGAAGTTGATTTTTTAAAGATTTTATGTGAATCAAAATAAACAAACTATTACACTAAGTAAAGAAGTTCCTTGTTTGTTTGTTTATTATTTTATTAGAAGAAAATATTATTTTTGTTTCGTTTTTTGTAGATTGAACTGATGATTAATAGTTGATTTTGATATATAAATTACTGTCTTTCTGTTACTTCTTTCTATCCCGGGACTGCCCCGGGATCCCGGGATTGACTTTAGATAATCCCGAAATCCCGGGACTGGAAAAATGGGCCGGGATTGAATCCTCTAGTTAGAAGTGATGCAGTAGTTTGTTGTACACAAGTAACCTTGTGTACTTTGTAAAGGAATTTGTTTATAAGTATATTTTTCACTTAATTATTTAATAACCATTTCCTTTTAAATCCTTATATCATTATTGTTTTTTGATTATAAATAGTTATTAATCTTTTTAAAGGACCTCTCATGGATGGGGCCAGGGCCCATAAAACTTACTCTGCTCTTAACGGTGACTTGCCCCACACAGAAGACACTCCAATTTGACCTATCCTTTCCCTTTCTTCTCTTCTAGCATCAAAGAACTCTTCCTCTTGGGGCTTATATCGACCTCTAACTGAAGAACCACCTCCTCCTAAACCTGAAGAGATATTATATACTATTAGGTAATTATTAAACACCATAACAAACACCAAAATTATACTTGTAGTCATAAAAATTAACAAATATTTATGCAATAGGTATACTAACCACCGCCTAGACCGCCTCCAGTGTAATCCTTGTAGGAACTGCGTCCTCTGTCATGTTCTCTTTCCCGAAAGGGTGGTCTGCGTTCATCTCTACTGCTTCCGCCGTCTTTGCTTTTTCCCCAGTTGCGGTTGTGGCCCTCTCGCTCTCTACTGCTGTTGCGTTCGCTTTGGTCTTTGCTACGATCACGACCACTTCTTTCCTTACTTTGACCTCGATATTCACGACCCCGGTCATGACTTCGAAGTCTTTCACGACTACGCATTCTATAACGACCACGCTCATTGTCACCGCCCATCACTTTTATCTGACTTAGGGTTTGTTAATCCTCATTAATTACTGATATTGACACTAGAAATAGTCGTATTCATATAATCACTGATATAACATACAAAATAAATAATGCCATGCTAAACAGCTAAACGTCAAAGTCCAAATTACTGTGACATATTGACACTTGCCTGACAGCCCTCACCGTTTGTGTTGCCAACAGTTATACTAGCTCTCCACTAGATTCCATCTTTAAAACCACCAGAAAACCACTAACAGTTTATCCCAACCAACACTCAAAATCGTTAAATTTTCCAGTAATCATTTATTATTTTAGTAAATTTAATAAGTAAATGCCTTTAGTTGAATGATTTCTACTAATAGTCCGAATTTTATTTGGCATAACAGACTTGGCTTCGTTTTGCATTAAGTTTATTTAGAGAGATTTGAGGAGTCGATGTTTTTTGTTTGAATTTCATTTTACTGACTTAGTTATGTGTAATTGACGAAAATCTACACCCCGTGACAGTCTTTTGACTCTTGCTGCTGTGATTCTTTTTTTTCGTCTGTTTTTTGGTTTTGCTTACGTTATTCTGAATAGTGTTCCAGTGACCAGTTTTTAGGAATCATAATTTTTGAGTCAACTATAAGATTCGAACAGTGTCGAAAACATAATCTTAATTTGATAAATGTCCAGCTTCTGGTTCTAATGAAAATCACTTTATATTCGAAATACAATCAGTTGAGCTCCACTCCGAATTGTTTCTTTTGGATGTTTAATAAACTTCTTCTAAGATTTATTCACTTAAATTCCAATAATAGTACCTTTTTAATATAAAAAACGATTCGCAAAACAAGCTCGACCACAGCTGATGAGATTCGACGTTCTTAATTCTTTCATTGAGTGTTGCCATAGTTTTAATGTTGAATGTTGTTAGTTCAAGTGGTTCATTGGCGATGCAAAGATATCCACGCGCCTTTAGCGGCGAAATTTAGGAAGTTGTCTAAGTACAACCCTTTGTTTTCAAGTTGAAGTTAATAAGTTTTAAACATAATGAAATGGATCACGATTAAATACAGAAACGGGTTTTTAATAAAAGCAAAAATACAAAATATTGTTGCGTTCTTCAATGTAATACTTACGGAAATTCGGGAATAAGTTTTAATTTATTTCCAAGAGATAAAATTATGTACCAAGTTTTCTTCCTGTATGGAAAAAGAAAAGATCAGCTGTATAACAATGGGGTTAAAAGAAAATAGTATTAAAATATAACGGTGTGTAATCATGTAAATATTGTGTGTTATGATTGTTCCTATTTAATTATTTATCTGGTGTTAGGTAATAATATTATAATTTTAGGTCTATTGACGGTATATGTTTACTAACCCAATTGTTTTTGTCCTTTTCAGCTACTAACAACTAAAAACTACCGCAAAGTTAAAAGTCGACGGTGCATTAATCTGCCGTCACCACTCGACACTGGCAGTATAGTCGACAACACCGTGTTGGAGACTCAGTTGCCAAAGGAAAAAAAAAAAAAAAAAAAAAAAACAATGGGGTTGGTCAAACACGGCTGATAATCTTCGTACATCGGAACGCTCTACGTAGCGCCATTTTGTTTTAATGTTGAATGACATTTCTGCTTGGCTGTGATTGGCCGTCGCAGGCACTGGTAGGCGGCCATGTTTGTTTTGGTTGTTTCATTTAAATTTTGACATTGCGAAATAGGTAGGTACCTACGTAGTGTCTCTAAGTAGAATGTGCTGTCAAAATGGCGCTGTTATAGCTAGTGCCCAAAACATTGCATTTTTCTTCGTTAAAAATAAGAAAAATATTTGTTTTATCAAAATAACTCGTTGTATCGTATTGAAATGCTCGGAAATAGGAGTCCATCATATCCCAAGATAAGAAAATTCATCGGCTTTAGTTAAAAGCCATTCGCCGTGAAGATTTAGTTCCAACAAATAATTCGAGGTTATGTCGGAAACATTTTGTGGAAAGTGATTACGAAAAAATCAGCAAATACATCCTGTGACTCGAACATTTCGTGTTCCTCTTTGTCGCACCAATGTAGCACGAAACTCACCACTACGACCAATATGCTCAGAATACAACGACCCTTGCGGGACTCGGATGACTTAGACATCTTTCACGATTCGCTTCACGATTTATTATTGTTATTTTAACCCTCTGCAACTGACGTGGTTAAATTGTTACAATTCAACTGAGGTTTATATTATACCAGACACCATTTCAACAGCAAATATTTTTGTAGAATTGAGTATAGCGAGCACTATACAGTAAGGTACTCGCAGCAGTGATGCTCGTATTTGAAAAATGACGGTATAACACGTGATTTTGTATTTCGCGGTGTCTGTGGGACTACACGTCAGCCGCAGACGGTTAATTTGTTTGCTTTGATTTTTTTTGTCTTTATTTATATAATTGTACATGGAATTTATGATCCCGTGAGTGTTGTGTACATCTGTCACTGGTATGCATATCAGACTTTTTAATTTTGTATTCAACTGTGTTATGGCTAGTGTATAATATGTATACTGTTGATATGCCTATAATAAATAAATAAATATACAAGCACAGGTAATCTGTTTGCCAACAATTTCTTATACTAACTATATCTTACAATAACAATAAGATAGTTAGTTTAATTATTACTGTATTAAGACGTTAATAACATTCCTAACTTTTTGTAACAAGAGTTGAACACCAGCACAAATATCTCAAGAAAAGTGCTGTAACATCTGTCTTTGCATGGAACACACAACCAGTTTCGGAGAAGGTAAAGGCAAGACAAGATAGATTAAAAGCCCGTAACCTTAAAAAGAAACAGCATTTTGAATTGCCTTCTACTTCTTAATACTGTGAGGACATAGTGTCACATAAAGAAGATGACGATGTGCATGTGCACATCGTCATCTTCTTTATCAGTCTATCTTTATCAGTCATGTGACTGATTGCAATGTATCTTATGCGCTTCTCATTGAAAATGAATGTGACAATTTGACAAATCACCATTATCTTAAGTTGTAAATCAAAACACTTGTGGCACTCAGACATTAAACATATTAAGACTATTCTCAACTGAACTGTTACTTGCTGATCATGAGACAGTGCATTATTATACTGGATTAGAAACATCTACAAAGTTTTCTTTGATTCTAAGCACACTTTTACCTATGGCTAATCATTTCCATAATAAACCACAAGTAATCACAATTGTACGGGCGTCTTCAAGTCACAAAAGGGCGAATAAACAGTTCGTAAGTTTGTAAACAAATTGTGACAGAACAATGGCCGCCAATACAAAAGAATTAGCCATGCTGACGCCATCTGTGCTAAGCTTTGACCGGCGAACCCCATACCTCTCAGATTTGTCGCGGAGAACCTAATGGGTAACCGGGGCTCCGACTCGACGTGCAGGTGAAGGAACGGGGTGGTTTTTAGTCAGTAAGAGTCTGACACTCCCTCCCGCCTCACCCAGGCGGGAGCAGTCATTCGATGATTTTCCCCCCTTGAAAAAAAAAATACCTCTCGGTTTTTCTCAGCAGTGTTGTACACAGTCTTAGCACAGTCTAATATTATCCATGTATTTTTATATTTTTGGAATGATTTAGGTAAGTTACTACGTATCATTTCGGTATAACAACTATGAGTATTCTACTCAGCATGGATGGGGCAAATATTATTAAAATAATTAGAAAACGCCTGCCCATTTATATTAAACAAAACACCAATGCCTCTAAATGACATTCATATTTTGTTTAATTTTTACCACTGTCAAAACAACTCGTGTCTCCTACAAATAACATTTTCTTGTTTGTTGGAGCATTTAAGGCCAATTCATTCACTTAACACAAGTCACCAATGTTTATAAAAGTTCAATCCACTCGAACGTCCGGGCGACTTGAGTGGCCCAAAACTTTATAGCGTCTAACGCCCGAACAACCAAAGTGGCGGGTGGCCCAGACGAGTCGCTCTATAGAAACACGTTGATTACTTGAACACGTCAAGTGGTACACAAAATATGTTCCGCTAGATAGTTCTGCATTAAATTAGGTACGCGTCTTTTGGTCGGTAAAACAACGCGGCAAGTGACAGCAAGATTAAAAAAAGACTAGGTACATAACGTTTTTTCCAAGTGCTTTGTGAATATGAAGTGAGTTAAGGATATTAACTAAATAATTTAGTATAACATTTGATTAAACTGTCAAACACCAAGCGGTCACCGGTGACCGCAACCTATTGTTCTATAATTGTGTCTACAAAACCGGTACTCGACGAGTTAATTGTGCAATTTGCTTAAATATTTATATACAAGAAACCAAGTAAATCTGATTTTTATTTACTAAATATTTTTTTCTGTGACGTAAATTATACACGACAACTGTCAGTGTCGTTCTTATAAAAAAAATATTATTTACAATTTTGACACTAGAGGCGCTAGTTAGAATCATCTCAATCATCGCCAATAGTTCCATTACATCCGCCATTCGTCACCTTGATATTAAATTGGATTTTGCATTTTATTACGTTTAAACATAATAACCACAACTCGCAAGCAGTGTCGTTCTTGACAACTTTTAAATTTCACCGCTAGAGGCGCGCGGATAATCTTTGCATCGCCAATAGAGTTTATCAACTTTGAACTTTATATACAACGTAGAAGAAAAAAAAAACTTATGGTTCTGTCTGTGACGCAATGAGTGCCCGTGTGACGCGTGTCTGTAGCGTAATCATAAAGAATTACCTACGTCATTATTCAATAACGTTCAATACCAAAGAGCAAAGAGTATAATAAGTATAGGGGAAGTCAATAGGTACCTACCTAGTACCCTAGTACCTACCAAAAAGTGTAAATAGGCGTCATTAGTTATCGTGGTTGCGATACGAACGTAAATAAATATCTCGATAACATATTTTATTGACTGTCGTACTGAATTGAACTGAAAAAATGAAGTTGTCTACGCCTAGATATACGTTTTGTTTATTTTTTCAAGTTATATTCATGCTCTGTGATCTTTTATTTAATTGTGTAAGCTTATTCCCAAGAAGCCGCGATGGATTACTTGTCCTATTCATGTAAGACCAATTTCATAGTTTTTTTACTTACAAAATAGGTGCCTAAGCTTTTACTCCTCCTTAATTACTTCTCGCATACAACTCAGAAACTATCTTAATTTGATTGTTATTTTGTAGATTTCAAGACTTGTTCCTTGTACTCTCCATCACAACGATGTTAATGACATTCTTCTCAACCTATTTGTTTCAAGTAAGAAAAAAATCTGCCTTATTTATTACAATATAATTTAAACTTTATGAAGAAGTGAATTTAAATAAATTATAATTAATGATATAACTGATATAACTTCTATGAAGGTAGGTAGCTTAATATTTTCATATATTGAGTCAGACGCAGATGAAAAAGCATTTATTCGACAGTAAGCAAGCACACACTCAAATACCTACAAAGATTATTAAAAAACACTGATGCTTATATAAACACAAAATAATAATTAAACTGTCAAACACCAAGCGGTCACTGGTGACCGCAACCTATTGTTCTTTAATTGTGTCTATAATGATGGTACTCAACGAGTTAAGTCTTTAACTCGTTGAGACGTTAGACGTCGGTGTTTGACAGTTTAATGAGTAACAACAAGAAATAAGAAACAACAAAGTATACCAAAATAGTGAAAACACAATAATAAAACAGAAATCAAATGATAACAAAAACAAGATATAAATAATATAAGCCTCCATCTCAGTATTGAGTTGAGCATACATATGCTGATAAGAGTGAGAATAAAGGAGCACCTTTAGTTTTTATTAGTAGTTATGCATTTCATTCTCATTTTAAAGGTGTGAGTTAAGGGGCCCACAAATACTCATTGTAAAACAGTCAGACAACACACTAAAATAGTTCCGACATGCAGGCAGGTCTGGTGGAAGTGTTGGTGCGGAAGTTCCGCGCGGCGGGCTCGGTGTGTGTGGCGTACATTGTCGCGAGTGTCGCGCTGCACGCCGCGTGGCTGCTTGAGAAATGGGCTGAACCCGAGTCAGTGTCTACTCCTTTGCTGATTTGCTTGTTTACTCTACAGAGATGCTGTAAGTTGAACAATACATAAACCTAGATGTTATGGTATACCATCTCTGCTGTCAATGTACTGTTAATTTTTTTTTTTTCAGTATCTCCATGGTATTACTTCTTCTACAAGAGAGCAGCACTGAGGGTCAGCGACCCTCGTTTCTATGAAGACATTGACTGGATCAATCAGCAACTGCAAGCTCACTAGATAATTAGTTTCCCAGTGAAAGCAGACCGGTCTCATTATATTGACAGTATAGTAGTACTGATATGCCTGCCATAGCTGTGCATAATGTGTACCTATGATGTCTATCTGGTTACTCGAACCATGGTAATTCTATATTATATTTATAGGTTTTGTGCAATTCCAAGTTTTAGATCTTGTATCGAATCATCGTTTGTTATTTTAATAGATATCATTAAAGTAACCATATAATTTACCCCATAATTAATTGAGACTAGCCCCTATAATATTCGGAGTCGCGGAGAACCTAACGGGTAACCGGGGCTCCGGCTCGACGTGCAGAAGAAGGAACGGGGTAGTTTTGAGTCAGTAAGAGTCTGACACTCCCTTCCGCCTCACCCAGGCGGGAGCAGTCATTCGATGATTTTCCCCCCTTAAAAAAAAAAGCCCCTATAATAACAAATGACAGTCACGAAAAGACCTTTCTAACGACATATGTCTGGTTGTTACTGGTCGGTGGGGACATTCGGCCCGTCATCCTCCTGCAATTATTTTTATGACTTTCGATCTTCATCTCAACTGGTTTAATGAATTTAAACGTGGACCCGGGTACGTCCTAAAACTGCGTTCAGACATCGAGGAATGGGCTGCAGCATTCCATAAATACATCGGTGACCTAACTGCGATCCCCAAGCCGCCTGCCAAGCGTGGGGATTATGGCAACCCTTGTCCCCCTCACTATGAACGACAACTCAAACACACGACCCCTAGTCCACGGCAGCTCCGCTATTCCTGATATAGGTAGCGGATCGGGTAACGGCGGACTAGGGGGTGCTAGAATCCCCGGCAGATGAACCGCTACCACCCCCGACGAACTTTAGCCCTGGCAACACACAACATCCGCACACTGCGGACCGATGAGAAGACTGTCGAGGTGGAGGAAGAATTGAGCAAAATGCGTTGGGACATCTTAGGACTATCTGAAATCCGAAGAGATGATATCTACTTAGTCGTAAAGTCCCTTTGTATAGTGTAGTGAACTGTACACTACTTTTTATAGTTAATTGTTATGGAGTGAAGTATTCGTAGATAGTTGAGTTTGGAGTTGTGAGTGTAAACACTTCTAGAAGTCCCGAAAAGTTTATTTTTAAAAGTTACAAGTAAGATTCTTAGGTGATTCTCACAGTGGTACGTTCGGTAGAGAGTTGAAGTGCACACTGGTCTACAATTGAATGCCGCGCGGAAAATCGTCCAATATGCATAGTCATCATAATAAAATAAGTTTAATTAACATAATTAGTGTACGTAAACCGTACACCCTTAATTAAGTGCAAAAATCTTGTTTGTTCGGGATTCATTTTACCGAGAATCCCCGATCATAGAAAAGCAAATTGTCTATCTCAATTTAACATTATAGCATTATTTTTAACGAAGCATAACAAACTCAGCTCGTTCTCATTCATAAAATTGGTGCATGTACAAAACAATTATTTTAAAACAAACAGTTTAAACAAAGAGTTCCAACGTTAGACCATTGATTCTCTTAGATACCGGGTCTGTGTTCCGCTAGTCCGCGCTGGTTAAGCAGCTAAGAAGGAGGCGGAGCATGGAAAAGAACTCCTCTAAAAACTTGAGGCAAAACGAAACACTTCGTGGGTGGGATGGGGTATCCGCCAAAAGCCTGTGGCGCTTTACCGTTTGTCTGTTGGTGTGATGAGGAAAGGTCTTCGGGGTATTAATTGACAAAACCGAAAGGCTTGTGATTTTGCCTTTGAAGCACCGCAAAAGCATCTTAGTTGGTGAGGCTTAGAGCACGCCAGCAGCACGCAGAATGTCTTAATAATCTCCAGTGCTTCTAGCTAGGCTATAGCCACATTATAATGTGGTACAAGAAAATATAAATTTTCGTACCTTTTAGGTATCTTCAAATTTTAAACAGATTTCTCTTCTTCCTAGTTGTTTTCTTCATTACTGAAGGTCGTGTCTAGTCTGGTGCACGCGTCACTTGATGCACAACCCTCCTCCAAACGCCCCTGTCCTCTGCGGTCTTTATGGCTTGTGGAACTGTCAGGCCAGTTAGGTTTTTTACAGCATCCAATCACCGGGTAGGTGAGCGACCACGAGGTCTTTTCTCGTTAACTCGACCAACAACCACAAGCTTCTCGAAATTGTTGGGGTCTCTACGCGCAATGTGGCCAAAATAGGTAAGTATCCGCTGCAGGCATACGGTGGGCAGCTTCGTAGTAATTCCGATATCCTTGAGAATGGAGACGTTGGTGCGACGAGCGGTCCAAGGAATACGGAGCATACGTCTCCAGCACCACATTTCGAAGGCGTCAATTTTTGCTCTCTCAGTTTTCCTCAGGGTCCATGATTCGGCGCCATACAAGAAAATGGAGAAAACCAGCCTCACTTTGGTTTTGCGACATATGTTTCGGCCCTTCCATATTTTGTTGAGTTTCGTCATTGCTGATTTGGACATCTGGATTCTCCTTCTGATCTCCCCGTTGCTGCTACCCCCATTATCGATAAGAGAGCCCAGATAAATAAACCGATCAAACTCCAGGTCTCCGAGTTCATTCGAGCGAGTGTGTGTCCCAATTCTGACTACGACGAGCACTTTGGTCTTATTTTTATTTATGGTGAGACCAACCAGTTCGCTCTCCTTCTCCACTCTTGCAATCAACTCAGCCATCTCGCTCTCAGACGATGCAAACAAGGTAGTATCGTCCGCATACCTTAGATTGCTGATTCTCCTGCCACCAACAGACAATCCACGCCCCCACCTTTTCAGAGCTCGTCTCATTATGTATTCCCCATAGGTATATATTAAATAAAATGGGAAACAGGATACACTCTTGCCGGACTTCCGAGGGCTAAACAGATTTATTTGTTGATAAATAATCACGTTCCTAGTAACAGACTGCTAACCTGATGTGATGGGACACTACTAATAAGCGGTGAAGGAAAACATCGTGAGGAAACCTGGGTTTATAATTTGTAATTATAAGTTGAGTATACGTGTGTCGTGGTGGCCCGGAGGCCTACTAACGGCACGTACCAATGTGACTTTTTCCGAGTTATTTGTACTTTGTAAGATTATCTAGACACCACGGATTTGAAATCGCCAACCCCAATGAGCAAACGTGGTGATTAATGCTCAAACCTTCTCTGTGTGAGAAGAGGTTTTGCAAAGCAGTGGACACTTATAGGATGTCGATGAATTATAAGTTTAAAATCGCCAACCCGCATTGAGCAAGCAGGTTAAGTTAATGCTTAAAACCTTCTCCGTGTCAGAAGAGGGCATTTATTTATAGGCCGTTGATGATGATCATGACTGTCAGCTTGAACTAAAAGGAACTTATATATGTAAAATGTAATGGTAAAACAGAACAACACAACACCGATTAATGAAATGACCAACATTGGCGGACTTTACCGCTTGGTCAAAAAATAAAATTTTGTACACATCATTAGATGAGCACCAGCCAGCGGTATTAATATTATTTCGAATGTAATTGAAACGCAGTTAGGGGTCGCCGAAGAAAACTCGCCCAGGGCGTTAGTAGTGCTAAAACCAGCATGAGGAAATTTCCCAAGCCATACACACCTCCGAAGCTCAATTCACCGTTGTCATGGGGGATTTCAACGCGAAGGTGGGCACACGGAACGGCTAAAAGCTGAGAATTTGGGTATGGGCAGTGAAACCGTCGGGGCCAGCGGCTGGTCGACTTTGTGGAGAGGGAGAGTGATGAACACATTCTTCCGCGACGACCAGCTAGGAGGTGGACGTGGATAAGCCCCGATGGTTATATTATACTAAAAAATGAGATTGACTTCATATCATGGCGACCGACAAGCGTATATTCAGTGATGTCTCTGTAATAGCTAAGGTGAAAACCAGCTGCGATCACCGTGTTGTCAGAGGCACACTGAATATCAATGTCAAGCTGGAGAGGTCACGCCTGGTCAGGTCCACACTCCGTCCTGGTCGCGCCCAGATCCAGAACCCCGAACAGTTTTAGCTCCAACTACATAATCGCTTCCAGTGCCTGGCTAAGTGTTGATTAACGAGTTAAATAATGGGTATAAGGAAACTGTCCAAGCGGTGGGATCAGAGTTTTTCAAAAACCCACGCCGAAATAGACCTCAAAAGCTCTCGAAAGAAACACTCAAATTATTGAAATACCGACACGAGATGAGGCTGCAGTTTTCAGTTGACATGTCTGGATATGACGAACTCAATAGGCGAATTTCAAAGTCTATGCGACGCGACCTGCGTGCATATAACGCCGGTTCGGAAATACCGCCGACGACAGATCATTCCACAGTTTTGCTGTGCGAGGCAGGAAGCTACGTGAGAACCGCACAGTTGTGGCCTGCCAACCATCTATATGATGGGGATGCATATGCTGTCGTGAGGGTCGATGGCGAAAAGATGCGGCAGGTATCAGGTCAAACAATTCCTCAGAGCACTCCCCGTGGTATAAGCGGTAGAAAATGCACAATGAAGCTACATCTCTACGCATTGCCAAAGTGTCGAGCCGGTTTGAAACATCCGGATCCGATTTCAAAAGTACCAAACTACGGTTTAATTGAAATAAATGCTTTGACTTTGACTTTGACCACTATGCTTGGCGTTTGTGGACTATGAAAAAGCCTTTGATTCGATCGAGACCTGGGCGGTGTTGTAGTTTCTCCAGCGATGCCATATCGACTACAGATATATCGAGGTGTTAAAGTGTTTGTATAGAAACGCCACCATGCGCATCCGACTCTAGGAAGATAGCACGGAACCAATCCTATTGCAGAAAGGCGTGAGACAGGGAGACGTGATTTCTCCGAAACTGTTCACCAACGCATTGGAGGACGTTTTCAAGCTCTTAAACTGGAGTGGACTGAGCATCAATATCAATGGCGAATACATCACACGCCTTCGCTGCGCCGATAATGTAGTCATCATGGCGGAGTCGCTGGAGGACCTAAACACCATCATCACCAACACGCTCAGCGACCTCGATATCGTCTCCCTACGATAACGATTACGATAACACTACGTACCGTTCGGCACTCTGATTGGCCGGCACCAATGAAGCAACCAATCAGAGCGACAAATACGTACTCGATACGATTACTTTAAACGTAAAACAAACTAATACTAAGGCCTCAGTTGGGCGTCTACCCTCGAAATTATTGACGAATATGTATACCTGGGACAAGTAATCTAGCTAGGTAGGTCCAATTTCAAGAAGGAAGTCAATCGTCGAATCCAGCTCTGATGGGCAGCGTTCGGGAAACTACGCAACATCTTCTCTTTCAACATAGCTCAGTGCCATAAGACGAAAGTCC